AGAAGTAATTGTAGTAGTAATCCTTTGATCTGACTAATAAAACTAGATCAACTTTGATTGCTCAATCAAGCTGAATATTTTAGTTAGTCTCATGCTTAGTTTAATTGCAAGTTACCAGTCTTGAAGAAGGCCATGAAAGAGATCGGTGTCCTACTCGAGACGAAGTACTTGTCGTCCCAAACCAAAGGGTATGAGGGAAAAAGACTCGAGAAAGCCTCCTTGGAAGCTTTGTTTCATCTTCACCACTTTTTCTATGTATCTTCTTCGACTATTTTCAAGTACCTCATATTTTTCAGGTGTTTTTTCATAGTTATCTTGTGTAAGCATTGATCGTCAACCACTATAAATCGTTCTAGACCATCATGATATTATTGATAAATGATTTAGAAACTGAATACAATGCAACATGTTTGTTTAAGTATGAAGAGGTCGATATAAAGCTTTGACATTCATGAATTGAGAAAGATTGTTGAAGATATATATTGTGTCGATTGAGTTTCGACAGAGGTGATAACATGATTCGATTATATAATTAATCATCATTTGAGTAGATTTGAAGCTTAATTGTAGTTAATTTGAGTTTTGGAGATAAAACCTGATCGTTGTAGGTTCTAAGTAGACGTTGATATTGTTGCCACTAGAATAACGACCTTATGTTAAAATTCTATTGACAAATGTAGAGAAAATGATTAGGGACCCAGGGTCAAACTTAACAGAAAATGTTGATGAATTTGTTACTTTTAGGGCAAAGTATCAACTTGAACCCCTTTTATAATACATTAAGACTATATCAATCATGTCAAATATATTAAGGACCAAAAGAAAACAATCCCTTTTTCTTAAGGACTATTTTGATCATTTTCTCGACAAATGTACCATTACCTATAGTTTTAAGGGAAAAAATTGACCATTTTTTTACTTGTGAATAAAGGCGAACATATTATCATTCATCATCAAGAGAAAATCTAGTCAATTTTTGCAATGACAAGGATAACATAACCCTAATATAAATTGTTTTTTGCAAAATTGGAAGCATATTTAAAGCTTTTCCCTATAAACAATTTCAGTATCACCAGAATATACGGACTTCACTGATACACGAAATCTGAACATTTCGTTCTCTGCAATCTCCATTAAACTATTTTTCCTTAAAATTTCTGACCTTTGAAGATAGAACAAAAATGGGGGTATGTCTATATATTTAAACCAGGGGTGTATTTGGAAATATATTTATCCAATTTAAGATCAACCGCGTGTTTAAAACTAAATGATGCATGCATATTTAGATTTTAAATTTTAATATGAATGAACCAAATGAAGCAACTTATAAAAATTACCACGTATTATGATAATTAAAATTATCTACATTATAATCTTTGCGTTATGACTAATGATTATAATCTCAAATAGATGTTTGGATATTATTAAATTAATATAATACAACTAGCTTACCATACTGTTTTGAGTCCCATCACAGTTAGTGGAGGAAGCTTCTCTTTGAATTTCAATTGTCCCCTTTGCCTATTGTGCTATATATTTTTATTTACAATTTTGAAAGAATATTTGTACATTCTATGTGATTAACTGATTATTATCCACTTTTATGCTTATTGTCTATTTTACGCGTGAAGCCAACTTTATTAATATTAGGTTGAAATTAATAAAACATGTATGATAATTGTTTTTATTTAAAAGTAGAAGTGGAAATAAAGCATGTATTAGCACAATTGATTTTATTTTTCTCTTATTTAGGAGAGGAGAGTAGTCAAATCTTCTAACAGCATTAATTTTCTGATTTAAAAGAAGTAATCATGTTATAAGTTGTTAAATAAGAATATAGAAAAGCAAAATATGACAACTTTGGATTTGATCTTTTCCCTCTCAGTATGCTAACATCCAAAAATATTTGTACTCAATACATCGAGAAAAGGAAATGATAATAAATTGGATCTTGGATTAACTCAGCCCCAAACGTTATTTCATTAGGGGAGAATTGTCCAAGACAGGGGCCCAAAAATTCGGGCAAACAATGAATTGGGACGAGACTTTGATACCATGCATAATAAAGAAATAGATATTGGGCCTAACCCCACTCCATGGCTAAAAGCTAGCTCACGGGGGCAATATTGCCCAAGGTGGACACATGTACCTTTTTTCCCATCGATTTAGGACTCCAACACCCTCAAATGACAAGTACGGTGCATGCCGGGGTATTGGAGTCCCACCTTGATGGAAAAAAGGGTACATAATCTCCTTACATGGTGTTGGACAAATTTGCCTCCATGAGCTAACTTTTGAAGTTGAGTTAAATCCAAGATAGACTCATCTAGCTAACAGCTCGCAACAATATTGAAAATACAATCAATGCTAACAAACATAAAACCATTCAAACATATATATATAGGGATGAAATTATACTTCAAAACAACATGCAATACCAAGATTCAAAGAAAAGGAAATACTTGAATACAAGTGAATTGAGTGCATGATATTGAATGTTGATAGAAGGTCAATAATAGTAATAACCCCCTGAGGGCCCAACGTAGCTAGCAGCATTGTCCATAGCTTGAAGTATGATCATGTTTTTCATGTGTTGTTCTTTCAGTCTGCGCTGAGCTTCATAATATGTTAATTCTGACGACTCCTCTTCTTCTTCTCCTTCTCGTAATTTGTCTGCTGAATTTTCGTCTTGGGACGATTCAGATACTGGCTTCCTTTTGGGATTTTCTCCTGGATTCTTGTCTGATTTTTTCTTTGTTTTCCTTGTTGTTGGTACTTCCTTTGGTTTCAGAATATCTGCATTTTCTTCTTGTGATTTGTCTACTGTCTTCATTTTGGGATTTAGTACTCTAACACTCTTGGCAAATTTTTTCTCTGTTTTCCTTACTGGATCTTCTGTTGATGTATTGAATACTTGTTCAGTAATTTCTTTGTTGCTTGATTCTTCCACGTTTGGTTTCATGATCACTGCATTTTCTTCTGCTTCTGATAATTCGTCTGCTAGTTTTTCTACTGAAGATTCAACTACTAGCTTCATTTTGGGATTCTTGGCTGTTTTTTCCTCTGTTATCCTGACTGGACTTTTTGTTGATTTACTAATGACAAGTTCTTCATTTGGTTTCGTGATGACTGCATTTTCTTTTGGTTTGTTGACATATTTGGAAATGCTACTACATTCGATATGTGTTCCAAAATCACAATCAGCACAATAATATAACCAAGAATTCTCTTCTACTTTTCCATTACAGAGATCACAAACAAAAATGGAACTTTCATCCTCATCACCAAAAGAGGAATCAAATATAAGTTTAAGTTCATGATGATGGTGTTGGGGAAGTAAGAGTGTTTGGGGCAAAAGGGCACATTGCACGTGCAGATCAAACTCGCAGTGAGCACAACTTAAGCTACAAGATCTTCCTTCAGATCCACAGGCATTACAAGTAAAAGATCGGCTCGAATAAGTAGGAGTTGGTAGAAGGGTTAAAGGGTGAGAAAGATGAGAAGGGTGAACCAGAGAACGAGGCGCGTTGAGGCAATTGTCATGGAGGTAGAAATTGCAAGAGATGCAACCATGAAAGGGCTCAAAAATGAACTTCTCACAGGCTTGACATTGAAGTTCCTCATTTTCATCAAGAACAAGTTTTTTCAAAATATGATGGTGGCTGAAATGTTGGTTATCTTGATATTTCATGTCTCTCAACTTGCTCAGTCTCTATGTTGTTTCAATGTGTGGTTTCTTTTTAGATAGACATGGTTATATGTATTTCTTGAAAATGAATTATATGATTTTAGTACATCCACTATCAAGTTTAATTGGTATTTCTTATCCTGGAAGTCAACTTCTGACTTTTAAAGATTATGACAAAATCATGAAATTACATAAAATAGTGAAAAATCTGCGTAGACATGACTAAATATTTTGCTTGTAGCGCCGGACAATCAAATATTTTACAAAAACCCTATAGAGTTGCTTTAACTACAAAACCATGTATGTCATAAAGTGAATTGAATAATCAAATCCGAGGCAGCTCCCTCTTCCTCTCACTTTTTCCCCCTCATATGAACTTTGAGTGCTCAAAACTTCCGTAACTATTGGCCTAGTCAGGTCGCACACTGGAAAAGGAAAAACTCTCTTGGTAATAAGTTTTCAAGTTCCTGCATAGCTACAACATTTTTCTTTCTTGGGTATGTTTGGTACGGAGAATTTTTTTCTAAAAATAAGTGATTTTTTCTTACTTTTTTTTATTTTTATTTTTAATATTTGATAAATATACTAAATATTATCTAAAAAATGTTTGTATAGAATTTAGGCAAACACTACAAATGTTGGGTACGCGGGGAGGGGGGGGGGGGGGGGCTATGGGAGAGTTTGCGGGTGTTGGGGTTGTGCCTTGTGCGAGCGTAGTTGGGAGGGCGGAGATGCACATGTTGCGAGGCAGGGGTGGGGAAGACAATCAACATGAAATTTTCACTTATAAAATTTGTTTTTTTGTGTGCATACTTTAGCCAGGAAAATCATTATCATGATATTTATGAGTTCTTTTTCTAAATAAAAAATATTTATAACCGTTAAAAGCTGATAAAGTGGAAAATAAATAACAATCACCATATTCTATCTTGACCTCGTTTTATTACAGGTTTTATATCTTCATATATCAACAATTACAATAAGTTTCTTTTATATAATCACTCGATATATTGAAAGGTCACGCGTAATATTATTGATCTTTTCATGAGAATAATTTATCATTTATTTTGATTAGTATCGACAATTAACGTGTGTTTCGATACATTTTGGTGATAGTTCATGTAGAAAGCTCACACGCCTGATAATTCAACTATGAAACTCAAACAACTGCAATACTTATGTGTGTTTTTGTCGTTTCAGTCTTCAGTCTTCTTCCTCTTTTCTTTTTTCTTGAATATATATTTTTACAAGGAGAGGACTGATATGGTTATCATTCTGCCAAAGACAGTAATTTTGGAGAACAAAAAAGGGGAAATCAAACACTAGTTTGTAATAAATAAACATAGAAACCAAAATTAAAATAGAGAACCTGATGATCAACGATACAAAATTTGAAAGAGGAATAACATAACAACAATAAAGCATTTATTTTGCAATAAAAACTGAAGAAGGCCAAAGCGGAAGAATTAGATATATGTAATTGTACGCCTAGATCGAGTCCAGGATAGCACGTCTTCCTCGTGCGTCGATCTGAGCTGCAATTTGAGCTGCTATAAGCCGGTCATGATCGTCATTCACTGAATTTATCATTTCCACCGCCGCATTCGCATGGGAATTCCAGCTTGAATTTGAATTCTGACTTGGATTTGGATTTGAATTTGAATTTGGAATTGGACGGTGCTGTTTGGGGAAAACACCGACTTCAGGACTAGTTATTGCACAGTGCAAGTGTGACCCGAAATCACACCCAGCACAGTAGTACAACCAATCGTCCCTGTTCATTATCACATTGCACATATCACAATTGTATTTGATATTCTTATCTTCGTATGGAGAACCGAAGTGGAGCTCCAATTGATGTGGGTGGTTATTAACAAGTATGGAGCTAGGACTGGACGCACATTGCAAGTGAATATCAAATTCACAAGCAGCACAGCTAAAGCAAAATCCATTACCAGCAGAGCCACAAGCCTTGCAAGTATAGGAACGACTCGAGTAAGATGGAATTTGGTGAAGGGTCAAGGGGTGGGAAGGATGAGACGAGTGATTGATAAAACGCGGAGCATTGAAACAGTTATCGTGGAGGAAATATTGGCAGGTGTTGCAGCCGTAGAAAGGCGTGTGACTATTGTTTGGTTTCTCACAAGCATTGCAATTGAGAGTTTCAGTTGGATTCACAATTAGTTTCAAGATGTGAGAATGACTGAAGTGTTGTTTATCTTGAGGTCCCGCATTTGTACCCCGATTTTGTCTTCCCATTTTTTTTCTTGTAATTTTGTTGTGCAATATAATGGAGAGTTAGCTTAGCTATCTGCAAGTAATGATTTATATTTATAGATATTTTAATTGTTTCCTTTGCTTACATATTTTCTTCTTTTGCTATAACAATTTGGCCAGTTGATTGACTAACTGGTATCCATTGTCTACGTACTAAAATGGGGCCGAGCATCTTCGATTTTTTGACTTTGACTAAAATGGCTCCGAGAATATTAATACGTAATTCACAAGTCAACTGTGTTGAGGTTCATCGAAGTTCCGGCAGCAGACTTTTTGCTCATACAAGTTGGCATTTCATCAATCATTTTCCTAAGTAGTACTGGTCGACTACCAGTTCATTCAGAGCTTGTTCTAATCTGCATCACACATTGGAGTTTGATTATTGCATCGTCTTAATACTAATCAACTTGTCAGGTGAATAATTATCTCAATTGAGATTTTTCGACATGAATCCAAATTTAGTCGTGAGCCCCAATATGTATATCAGACCCAAAAAAAAAAAAAAAAGCAGCTCTATCTAGATTTATAGGTTGTCTCTGAGATATAAACTGTGAAATTAAATCGACTGATTTCGGCAAATTGATAACTTTTGAAGTCGACTTCATTGAGGTTCATGGATGCATGTTACGGCAACAATCAACTGTTCGACTTTTTCCTATTAGCAAGTTGGCATTTTTATCATTCATTATCCTAGTGCTGACTATTGACCAATACTTAATTGAACGCGTTGGAGTTTGATTATGGTAGACCGTAGTGTCTCAAAATTAACTTGCCACACGAACAGTCATATATGTCCGCTTAATTTTTATATTAGATTGTTTATATCACATCATTTCAAATGCAACTCTTTTTTCTTTATATCATGTGTGAATATGAAATATTTTATGTATTGAGCTGCTCTTTCATGATTTTGCGAAGCCAAAATTTTAAGTTTATAGTAAGACTTTGGGATTTGGCTCCCCTCCATTACCTTTTCCCTCCATTTCGTCAAGTACACATCTGGATGAGAGACATATGTACTATTTAATTGTTAAAAGTCAAGATTATATTGCATTAACTAGTATCATAACCATAGTTAAGTGAATAAGTTTTGGAAAAAATTCTCTCCAAATTTAGTAAGAATAATTAATTCTTCTCAATTTTTCGTATCCATATATTTATATCATTAATTTTATTTTATATTTTTATATTAAAATATTAAAATTATGGAACATGAACTTAACAACGTTTAATTTGTTTAGCCTAACAGTAGTCTTACAAAATATTTTGCCTTTAAATTGATATTTTATTTTATTTTATTTTTTAAAATTTATACTCTCACATTTGTAATTCTAATGCATTTTTTACTTCCCATTTTTTATTATATGATTTCTATCATCAATGATAATTCTTCCTTTTATTTTTTAAATTTCTCAACCTAATATTTCAAGAATAAATTTGCTAGCATAGGAAGCGATTAAATAATGTACAATATTAATATTTGACTATAGAAATAAAAAATGAAATTAAACGGTTCAAAGATTTGTAGGAATATTTTTCTTGCCAAAGTAAGAAATTATTTGTTCAAAATTTATTCCTTAACTATGGTTATGATACTAGTTAATGCAATATAATCTTGACTTTTAACAATTAAATAGTACACATGTCTTTCATCTAGATGTGTAGTTGACGAAATGGAGGGAAAGGGTAATGGAGGGGAGCCAAATCCAAGACTTTGAATTTTTATAAATTTGAATTTTGATCTTTTTACTCCCTTCGAGTTACTTTACTGGTCATTCTTACTAAAAATAAATGGTTCAAAATAGTTGTTAGTTTTAGAAAATCAAAATATTATTGAATATTTTGCCGTTAGTAATACTTATTTTTAAAAGTAATTAACATTGACTTATAATTAGCACAAAAAACATAGGTGAATAACACATATACATACAATATTTTGATTGTTTAGATTAATCATCTTTTTATTTATTGAAGAGAAATGAAAGAGGGAATATTTATTGAAAAAAGATAATAAATAGGTGTATGATATTGAAAACACATTTTCTTGAGAGCAACTATCATAAAACATATACTAGTATAGATGCTAATTACTCAACACATTGATAGTTTCAATAATTACATATCTTGTTTGAGTTACCTCTGGATACACTTATAAATACATTGTATCTATCGAATTTATCTCCCCTCTCTCCTCTCCAGCTTGCCTCTTCTCCTCTCTCGCTCTCCTCTTCCCCTCTCTCGTCCCTCTACCTCTCTCTATCTGTGTTTCACTATGTATTTATATTTCACAATTTTTTTTATCAAAGTAAGTAATTATTAAAATCAATTCACCAAAATAATACATTTTTTGGAATTTTACAAAACTAGTATAAACGTAGTTTTCAGTAACGTTTTAGGTTATATTTTATTCAAAAAGAAATCAATAACAAGAAAGACAAAAACCTGACAGGGTAAACATACATAAAACGTTATTGTCAGTTATGTTTTATAATTCGTTACTCTAAGGCACATTTTATAACTAAAACGTGACTCACAGTAACGTTTCTCTGGAATGACTGAAAATTAAAATTCAATCTTTCATGCCTCATTCAACTTTATTAAACTTTCCACTATATATATATTACACATATATTTACTTATATAAATTATAGGAACCACATATTATAAGTACTAAATAACATCCTATCCCTTCTAGTTTTCTATTTACCAAAAATCCCTTAAAAATGATGTTTGCGGGATACATAGCATTGTGCACGGGATACATGTGGGATACATAGCGTTGTGCATAGGATACATAGCGTTTGATACATTCCACATAGAGGGATACATAGCGTTGTGCACGGGATACATACGGGATACATAGGTAAATAAGGAATTTTTGAAATTTTTGAAATAAGTAGGGATAAATGGATATTAAGGTAAGTAAATGAGTGTAGTTAAGTAATTTGTCCTATTTACTTCATATATATATAGGAGACTGAGGAGGGCTTTACTACAATATCGATTAATTTCTTTGTCTCTTCTATTATGATGTAGTCATTATGTTTTGTTTTAATAGTTGTTTTGCTTACTTATTACATCAATTTTAATTAAATAGCTTCTTTATTGATAGTCTAATATTTAATAATCATAAGAAACCGATTGAATTAATATTTGGAAGGGATGGTATCTTAGGTTAGAAGAAGATCTCTCATATGATTTATTTACAAATTTTGAAATTGAAATGATACAAGACAAGCTTCAATTTGCGCAAAGTCTTCCTCACTTTTTTTCCCTTTCATTTTAAAAAATACTGTCTATGTACGAAAAGAGAAAGAAAAGAGAAAATCACATATATTTCAAGTGAAGGTATGTACAAAATATATCTATCCATTTTAATAGTGGAAATTTGAATAATGAATAAGGCATGTACAAGATTGAATTTCAATTTTTATCCATTCTAGAGAAACATTACTGTGAGTCACATTTTAGCTGTAAAATGTGCTTCACAGTAATGAATTATAAAACGTTACTGACAATAACGTTTTATGTATGTTTACTCTGTCAATTTTTTGTTATTGAATTTTTTTGAATAAAATATAACCTAAAACGTTACTGAGAATTACGTTTATATTAGTTTTGTAAAATTTCAAAAAAACGTACTATTATTTTGGTGAATTGATTTTAATAATGACTTAATTTGGTCAAAAAATCTTGTGTGTAATTAAGTTTCAAGAATCCATCTGTGAATTAACTGACGATCTTAATTACCTTCCACTAACCTTCGTTAAAGTGTCGACATTTCTTGTGAATATATTCCATCCTTTCTAATAAGTACTCCCTCTCTGTCCCTAATTACTTGTCCACTTTTGAATTGACGCACCTATTAAGAAAACAATAATTGACATAGTGAGTTTACCATTTTACCCCTATATAATGAAGTGGATGAATTAAGAACTTAAGATTTTCAAAAAGTTCTACATTTTTCAAAGTAATTAATTTAGGATATAATAGATAAAAAATTTTTTTGTCCATTCTTGATTTGTCAAAATGGACAAGTAATTAGGGACAACTAAAAAAGGAAATATGAACAAGTAATTAAGGACAGAGGGAGTAATAAATAACTATACAATCAATAAGAAAAAAGATGTATGAAGATGCGAAAGTAATTAATTAATATTCAATAATTATTTACAAAAACAAAAATATAGTTTGAATATCTATGTGACAATAATTCCTAAGTTGAAGGAGTTGAATATATCATATTATCACCTAGTTAATACTTATTATCTCATAAATATTTCTTCTCTATTTCAATTTTCTTCAACAAAGAAAATAACTTTTTGAGATAATAATTATGAATTGGTTGTCCATCCAAGAAATCAACTCCGAATAAAGTACTAATGGCTTCTCAAAAATAGAATTAATTTTTCAACATATGAGACTTGCCATCTTGAGTTAAGGGTCAAAAACACACCTAAAATATTTTGATTTTTTGAGCTTCATACCTGAATTATCACCAAACGTTTATCGAAACACACCTCATCTCTCAGTTGTTCACTTTTCCTACCTGAACAATGGTGATAATTCAGATTGAAAAAGTGAAGAACTGGTAATTAATTAATGTGTTTTTCGATCAACATTTAGTGATAGTTCACGTATGGAACTTATACCTTTGATAATTTAGTTATGAAATTCAAAAATATCACAATACTTAGGTGTGTTTTTGTTGTTTCAGTCTTCAGTTGTTATGAACCAAGTCCAGCCTACTATAGATACTAATGTCATACAAGTTGCTATTAGTGCTTTCATTGATTCCATCTACCATGGTGGACCTATCTCAACCCACTGTCATGGGTCGCTTCAGTGGTGTCAATTCTCTAGATTGGGTGATTAAGACAGAGAAGTATTTCCTCTTTTACGACATATTATCGGAGCATAAACTGTCATTGGCTTCATTCTATTTGGATGGCGAGGCTTTGGAATGGTATCGTTGGCTCTTCCGAAACAAACAACTTGCGGGTTGGGATCATTTCGTAGATAAATTGTTTATTCGTTTTCAAAGTCGAAAAACTCCTCACAATTGATTCTCCTTTCTCCGGCAGTTTACCACAGTGGATGATTATCAGGCATGGGCAGCAACTATTTCGTCATTGAACACTTTGCTAACTTGCCCACGCCTCAGTCGTGGAATGCACCATCGGACTACAACAAAGTGAAATCTGTTATTTCTTGTATTCAGATTAGCAAACCATGAATAATAAAAGATGAAAAGAAAAACACAAAGAACTATCCGAGTTCACAGAACCCACTGTGTGTCCTTAAGAAATTTAATCCCCTCAAGAACCCGAGGTTGCAGATTAATTCCTCCCAAGATAAAACGGATTAACCATTAAAAGAAGTAGCGGTACCTTAAACTTCGATAATTTTAATGAACTCAAAATGACAATAACGAATCACACACATAGACACGATTGATCGATTTTGTTTTGTAAGAAATGTATGCAAAAGAAGGGAATAATTCGATGCAGAAAAATGAAAGAAAACCTCTTTATTTATAGCCAACAAAGGGTAGAGGTCACAACCCTTTGGAAAGAAGACAACCTTTCAGAAAGGTCACAATACTTTGGAAAAGACATAACCTTTCAAACGGTCACAACCCTTTAGAAAGGACACAACCTTTCATAAAGATCACAATCTTTCGGCATAGTTACAACTCTTTAGGAGAGTCACAACCCTTCATTTTCTGTTCACACCTTGAAAACCCAACAAAATCTTCCCACTAGGTGTTCGGTGAAAAGTCAAATAAGACACCTGATATTTTTGTAGATGTTGAGAATGCAATAAAGCTAAGTAAAAGTGGCAGCGCTGAAATGTTGGACATTCAAGCAAAAAAGAAGTTTTTTCATTCGATTTTGGATGAAACCAAAGAGGAGGCGGAGTTCCCTGTTCCACAACACGTTAGTGAACCACTTGTATACAACAACAATGAGGCACACAAGGTGTTCGATGAATTTTTCGTAGGATGTAAGGATGTTATTCTAGAATCACACAAGGTGCTTACGATTATTACAGATACTATTGAGGAAAATGACTATGCTATTGATGTTGAAAATGAAGAGAGGAATGAGGAAGAAGAAAAACTTTTTACCATTGAAAATAAAATACGACAATTGGTTCCTGCATTTGTGGTAATACTTCCATTATGGTTTGATTCTACATTTTCTAGTTTCAGTGACTTTGCCATGTTTAATATGCTACATAAACTTGGGATAGCCCGATGCATGGAGGAGATATCTGAAATGCTTTCAACTTGTAGATATGACCAACTTACTAACTGAGGTATAATTGATCACTTTAGTAGACTTGGTCATGCTTCACTTATCTTAACTTTGCATTTATTTCCACCTAATCAATTCGGATTAGTGTTTCTATTTGATCATGGCTCTCGTTCACTTACCATGTTCCTTAGAGTTACAAGAAACTAGGGGTGACAATTTAAGCCCATATTAATGAAATGAGTCAATTTTACTCATATTTAATGACTTGAATCACTCATATTTTAATTGGGTAAATATGAGCTTCAAGCTATTTTAAGAGCTCCTACAAATATGGTCAAAATGGGTATCCATATAGACCTATAATAGATCACTCACTTCTCTCTACTACTCAAAATTTTAAATTGTGCTAAAAAATAAAAATTCTAATATTAATTTTAAATTTTCAAAAATATTAATTTATTTTTCAAAAAAATTGGAGGGTGGGTGGGGATGAGAGGGGGGGGGGGGAGAGGTGGATTTTTTTTTTTTGAAAAACAAAAAAAATTAGGGGTCGTTTGGGTGGAGGGTGGGGGGCCACCAGGGGGAGGGGTAATTTTTTTTGGAAAAACATAATTTTTTTTTTAAAACAAAAAAATTAGGGGTAGGTTGGATGGAAGGTGGGGGGGGGGGGCGGTCATTGGGGCACGACTCCCCGAGGGGTGGGGGTAGGGGACTAGGGGTACAGGGGTGGGGGTGGAGGGAAGTGGGGGGTACAGGGGAGGGGTTCGGCAAAGAAAAAATTAAATTTTTTATTTTACAGAAAAAAAAGTTTTTTTAAAATTTTTTTGGGGGTTGGGGGGTAGGGGTTGCCAATTTTTTTTTTTTAAAAAAAGTCTTTTTAATTTTTTTTTGGGGTGGGGGTACATGGGTGGGGTGATAGGGGTAGGGTGGGATGGTAGGGGTTGAGGTATTACCAACTTAGCTTTGATTTAAATTTTTTTGGCTTTAAGAGATTAAAATGGATTACAACCATTTTACCCAAACCATATTTGACCAAATCCATATTTACCTATATTTTATTTATAGGAAAAATTACTGAAATACACGTCTTATGTTTCTTTTATTTCTAATATTTCATTCTATTTCTAAAAACTTCTAAAATCCCTTATTTCTCTCCTAATTCTAAATTATTTTATAATGTATTCGAGCTACATATTATGTATCCGATTTATTTTATAATGTATTTGAACTAGTTTTTAATGTATCCGAGCTACATATTATGTATCCGGTTTATTTTATAATGTATTCGAGCTAGTTTTTAATGTATCCGAGCTACATATTATGTATTCGGTTTGTTTTACTTTTTCCAGGAATTAATGTAATTACAAACTAAATAGGGATAGATTGTAATTTCATATTAAAACTATGTGATTCCTAAAATTTATACTTTATTTATGTGGATGGATTGTGATCCAATCTATTTTAACTCAATTCATATTCAATCCATCCAAATCCGATCCAAACCACCCATTTGCCACCCCTACAAGAAACTATGTATTTTGTGTCGCTTTAGACAACTTGGATCATAATAAGTTAATTATGTCAACCTTGTGGTATTCTTGCATTTGGGTTGGTAAAGGACAAGAGCAATGTCTTAACTCGAACCTTGAGGACAAGGCTCCTATTGAGGACGGGAGTATTGTTATGAACCAAGTCCAACACTGTAGATACTAATGTTATACAAGTTGTTATTGGGCTGACAAGAGCTATTGGGCCGAGAACAAGCAATAGGGCCAGGTTAATTTGGGATCCAAGATGAGTAGTGGGCATGAAACGGTTCCATCAAAAAGGGGAGTGATATGTGCTTTAGGAATTATGCAAATTGTTGAGAAAAATGTCTAGTCCTCTCATCCCCTTTCTTTGAGTCTATGCTTCTCATCTCCCTTCTAGTTATCTTCTACAATAATTTTCTTTGTTAGTTCCATTTTTCGTTATAACTTTGAGTTTAGTGATTATAATATTTGAATGTTTCTATTGTGAAATTGGAGTTGTTACATCAGTCTTCTTCCTCTTTGTTTTCTTGAATCTATATTTTTACAAGGAGAGGACTGATATGGTTATCATTCTGCCAAAGACAGTAATTTTGGACCCCAGAAAACAGAACAAAAAAGGGGAAAATCAAACACTAGTTTATAATCGATAAACGTAGAAACCAAAACAAAAATGGAGAAACTTGATGATTAAAGATACAAATTTGAAAGAGAAATAACACGATAGCAACAATAAAGCATTTATTTAAAAACTGAAGAAGGCCAAAGCGTAAGCATTAGATATATGCAATTGTATGCCTAAATTAAGTCCAGAGCAGCCTCTTGTCCTCGTGCCACAAACTGAGCGCGAATTTGAGCTGCTATAAGCTGCTCATGAGCAGCATTCACTGAATTAATCATTTCCACCGCCGCATTTGGATTTAAATTTGAATTTGAATTCTGACTTGGATTTGGATTTGAATTTGAATTTGGAATTGGACGGTGCTGTTTGGGGAAAACACCGACTTCAGGATTAGTTATCGCACACCGCAAGTGTGACCCGAAATCACACCCAGCACAGTAGTACAACCAATCGTCCTTGTTCATTATCACCTTGCACATATCACAATTGTATTTGCTATTCTTATCTTCGTATGGAGAACCGAAGTGGAGCTCCAATTGATGCGGGTGGTTATTAACAAGTATGGAGCTAGGACTGGACGCACAGTGCAAGTGAATATCAAATTCACAAGCAGCACAGCTAAAGCAAAATCCATTACCAGCAGAGCCACAAGCCTTGCAAGTATAGGAACGACTCGAGTAAGACGGAATTTGGTGAAGGGTCAAGGGGTGGGAAGGATGAGACGAGTGATTGAGAAAACGCGGAGCATTGAAGCAATTATCGTGGAGGAAATACTGGCAACTGTTGCATCCATGAAAATTAGGCTTATTGTTATTTGGTTGCTCACAGGCATTGCAAGTGAGTGTTTCAGGTGGATTCACAATTGGTTTCAAAATGTGAGGATGGCTAAAGTGTTGTTTACCTTGAGATGTCGCATTTGTACTCTTATTCTGTCTTCCCATTGATTTTTCTTTCTAACTTTGTTGAAATCAGTAATCAATAAGACTATAGGAGAGCTAGCAAGTTAATTTGTAACTTGTAATTGTATTTATAGATACTAATTCAACTATAATAATAATAAGTTAAGAACATGCCCACGCTGTTTATTTCCTTCGACGACTTTGCATTCATTTTTTCCCCTTTATTAGGTCTGGTGAATCAATAATTTGGCAAGTTGTTGTTTAAATATCTGTAAGCATATTGACTGACTTAGCGCTGTTATCCATTGGCTACTAAAATATTGGCGATCGAGAATCTTCGTATAATTTGACATACACTAAAATTTACCTTCTTTTTGGTTTTCTCAAGTTAATTTCCTTCCTCTCACTTTAAGTTTTACTTGATCAATAAAAATTGTGATGAAGTGATAAATATATATTAAATCTAATCTCAAGTTTAAGCATTGAGTATTGAATCACATTTGATGTTTAAGAATGTTTTATTCCAACTGTGAGTCTTCTTGACGCAAATCTAAATTTAGTCACAATTCAGCAAAGTGGTAACTTTGGGAAGTCAACTTTATTGAGGTTCATGGCTGTTACGGTAACGGTCCACTGTAAGACTTTTTGCTCTTTTCAAGTTGGCATTTTCATCATGGGAAGTGCTAAATGATCAGAAAATTTAAAAAATTATAATAATTTTTTAATTTTAAAACAAACTGATTTTTTTTCAATTTTTTAGTTAAAAAGTATTAAAGTTAAAAGGGTAAATATGTTTAAAAAGGTAAAATAACATAAATAAAATATTATTCTGGCCAAATTTTCTGGCAAAAAAGATTTTTTCCTTTCATCATTCATTATCCTAGTTTTGACTAATACTCCCTCTATCCCTAATTACTTGTCCACATTTTCTTTTTAGTTGTCCCTAATTACTTGTCCATTTTGATAAATCAAGAAATAACAATTTTTTTTTACCTATTATACCCTCAATTAATTATTTTGAAAAATGTAGAACTTCTTGAAAATATTAAGTTTTTAATTTATCCACTTCATAATTAATAGAGGTAAAATGGTAAACTCACTATTTTCAATTATTGATTTCTTAATAGGTGTGTCAATTCAAAAGTGTATAAATAATTAAGAATAGAGAGATTACTTTTTTAATTCATTTTAGTTTGATTATCGTAATGTCTCTCCACACGACGAGTCATATATGTCTGCTTGGTTTTCATTTTTGCATTATAGTAGGTCGTGTAATATCACCTTTTTTGGGATGCAACCCTTTTTGAATTATGTATGAATACAAAATATTTTGTGTATTGAGCTACTCTTGGTTCTCAAGCTTTTGTCAAGTTTTTCGAGTTCGAAGTCAAAAGAGTCATTTTTTTAGTGATAATTCACGTATAAAACTTATATCCTTGATAATTGAAAATGTTTATTATGTATGAGGCACGCCATGTCATTTTTGTATGAGGCATTGTTTGATTGACAAATGGAAATGGACGAGACCCATTTGTCAAGCTAATAAAGGGACATTTTAAGTTCCCTTTGTCATTTTTTTGGTTTTATTCCCCTTGTTCAATATATTTTGTGTTTCAATCTTTTTAATATTTTTTTCTTCTTTAAGATTAAGTTGATCAAACCTTTTAAGAATTTTATTTGCTGATCTTATTAGTTTATGCTTTTCTTTTTTTACGTACTGAATTTTAATTTAAATTTTACGATCATTATATAAGTTTTTAGTTTATTATTTTAATATTATTTTTTCTATTCTATGTTATTCATTCTATTATAATAAATAGTTGTGTGAAATTTATTTTTTAGTTTATAAAATCAAGATATAAGTAATTTTTTAATCCTAATAATTAATTTTTTTAAAATTATAAAATAAATTTTGTAAAATTGCAAAAATTCTATTAAGGAATAAATTATTAAAATTATTATTTATATTTATAATTTCTTAAGAAACGTATGAGAAAAGTAGATAAAACAATATTTATTAAATTTCACCTAGCTTGAATTTTAAGAATAAAAATATCTTATAAATTGACAAAAATAATATGTATTTATGTTGATGTTTATGGATATTTTTCGTTTTTGAATTTCATGACAATAGTATCAAAACTTATGCAATTGTTTGTCAAGATCATTGATGTTCTTTCCGTTATATTTACTTATGAGAAAACATTCAAATGCCCCCTCAAGCTATGAGTGGATTTCCAACTACACACTTATTCTTTACGGGGGTCCTATTACCCCCTTGAACTATTTTAAACCGATCAAGTAACCCCTTAAGTGCTGACATGGCATAGAGAGTGAGAAGCAAAAAACAATTAAAAAGAATATTTTTATTATAATTAAATTGTATATTTTTCTTTTTTTTCTTTTTATTTATTTATTTATTTTTATAAGAAAAATTACCCCTTTTAATGGAGGGAATTACTTTCTCTTTCACTTCTATGGGAGAAGAAGAAGCAGTCCCAACATTCCGATCTCTGATAGATGATAAATTCTAATATTTGACAGAAAAACTCATCGAACGAGCCGGCGATGAGGAAGAAATAATCACCGGAAAAGATGAACTCACGGACAAATTTGAAAATTTATTCTTGAGCTTCGAAGCTCTTTAATAATGATTGTCCATGGATTTGTATTTCCTTCTTATTTGTCAATTTTTTTCTTTAACTCAAATCAATTGATCTAAATGTTTTCAAACTCAAGAACTCAACAATGGGATTCCCATAAAGGATTCAATTTAGTCTCTACAATTTGTAATTGAAAATGAAAATTTTTAGATTTGGATTCAAACACAGCAACCCACAATTTTTTTTTTTTTTTTTGACAGCTTTGTAGGTCAGTGTGGTTTTCTGATTTTTGGCTTAAATCTTCACACCTAATTTGAAATCAATTAACAAGTAATGTGTAGATTCAATACACCAAACCCAATCACATTCACAAACTTCCAAGATTTGCACAAATTCGATGAACACAATGAAGAACAATAGTTTTTTTTTCTTCAAATTTTAAGAAATTAATAAAGCCAAGAAAACAATTGAAGATTTATGGCAAGTATTGTAGAAATTTATAGTTTGAAGGATCAATTTTTTTTTTTTTTTTAAAAAAAATATATATATATTACACATTTTAAAAGAAAAAGAAAAGAGGTAAAATAGAATAAAGATGAAAGAAGAATCTAAAAAAAGTTTTTTTAAAAATTATTATATATGTCTGACAGCTGGCAGTGCGTGTCCACCACTTTAGGTTATGAATGTGGGTGTATAGTTTTAGGGTGATATTTATATCGTCTTAAAGTAGTTCAAGGGGGTAATAAAATCTCCGTAAAGTATAAGTGTGTAGTTGGGAATCGGACAATAGGTTAGGGGGTCATTTGACTATTTTCTCTGAAGAGTATTTGTGGATTGAAGTGCTTTTGGATTATGAAATTGTTGAGAGAAAAATAAAATAACTTATTAAATTTGTACCTTCTTTATTTTTCATATTAATAATCTACTTTTTCTTTTACAAATTTCTTAAGAAATCATAAATAGAATAATAGTTTTACTAATTTATACCTTAATTATTTTTGGTAAATTTATAAATTTTATTTATACTTAAAAAAATAATTAATTGTTATAATAAAATAGTAAAATTGAAAATAATTATATCTTTGTAAATAAACAAATAATTTTATTTAACTATTTTTAATAATATAAATAATCAATATTGAGATAAAGAATAATATCAAAATGTTAAAAATAGAATGAGTCCGGCATGAATAATAACCCCAAGAAAACAGAACAAAAAAGGGGAAAATCAAACACTAGTTTATAATCGATAAACATAGTAACCAAAACAAAAATGGAGAAACTTGATTATTAAAGATACAAATTTGAAAGAGAAATAACATGATAACAACAATAAAACATTTATTTTGCAATAAAAACAGAAGAAGGCCAAAGCGGAAGCATTAAATATGTGTAATTTTATGCCTAGAATAAGTCCAGAGCAGCCCGTCTTCCTCGTGCCTCTATCTGAGCGCGAATTTGAGCTGCTATAAGCCGGTCATGATCATCATTCACTGAATTTATCATTTCCACCGCCGCATTCGCATGGGAATTCCGACTTGGATTTGAATTTGGATTTGGACGCTGCTGCTGTTTGGGGAAAACACCGACTTCAGGACTAATTATCGCACAGTTCAAGTGTGAAGCGAAATCACACCCACCGCAATAGTAGAACCAGTTGTCCTTGTTCATCATTACAGAGCAGATATCGCAAACATATTCGCTATCCTCAGGATAACTGTATTGGAGCTCCAATTGATGCGTGTGTTTATCAACAAGTATGGAGCTAGGACAGGATGCACATTGCAAGTGAATATCAAATTCACAATCAGCACAGTTAAAGCAAAATCCATTTCCAACAGAGCCACAAGCATTGCAAATATATGAACCACTCGCGTAAGACGGAATTTGGTGAAGGGTCAATGGGTGCGAAGGATGAGACGAGTGATTGAGAATACGCGGAGCATTAAAACAGTTTTCATGGAGGAAATATTGGCAGGTGTTGCAGCCGTAGAAAGGCTTGTTACTATTGTTTGGTTTCTCACAAGCATTGCAAGTGAGAGTTTCAGTTGGATTCACAATTTGTTTCAAGACGTGTTGATGGCTGAAGTGTTGTTTACCCTCATTTGTACCCCCGTTCAGTCTTCCCATTGTGTTTTATTTTTTCTTTGTAATTTTGTTGTGCAATATAGTAGAGATACATTGGAGATCAGTTAAGTAGCTGCATATTTATAGATATTTCAATTAAACTAGGGAAAATGCATAAGTACCCCCAGCCTATACTCGAAATTCCAGAGACACACCTAACCTTTATTAAGGTCCTAGTACCCCCTCGAACTTATTTTATATGTAATATTCTACCCCTTTTTGGTCTATGTGGCACTATCAGGTGGGCCCAGCGCATGTTGACATTTTTTTCAAGGATAGTGCCACGTAGGCCGAAAAGGGGTAGAATATTAT